ACTCGGAGCACCATACTGGCTAGGGACTTGGCTGTCCGCGGGTTGGTATCCGATGGGGGGAAGTTGAGGGCGGACACCACCACCATAGGCCGGAGGTTGTCCCTGGGAGGGGTCGGGGCCGGGGCCATCGACTTGGCTAGCTTGTGCCTGAGCGGCCACACGCTCACGGTCCTCGGCAGCCTTGCGCGAAGCTTCTTCTTCCTTCTTGCGAGCCTTCCATTCCTTGCGAATCTCCTTAAATTCTAAAAAGGCAAAAGTCAGTATGGGGCAGGGGAGATAGAAATCAGACCGAAAAACAAAAAGATGTTCTGAAAAAAATCAACCGAGACAGGCAGCAAGGGCGTGGTGAGCAGATCATGGAGTGGTAGAAAGGGATGGAGGCCAGCTTAACCAAGCTTAACCTTCCACGCCGTCGTCCACGCTACTGCGGCCCCGCGAGATCTAGTGTAACTCGCTAGCGTGCAGGTACCGGCGCTAACCCAATCCAGCGATTTGCGACAACTTCGAGGATCTTGCGACCAATTGTGCCGCGGGAAAGAAAATAAGAACAGCAGTTCAAGACTCACCTTCAGGAGTGCGCTTCGCACCGTGCGATTGCATTGTCACATGGGCGTTCAAGTGGTTCAGAGTACCGTATGCCTTCTCACACCCGTTCCACCCACACTTGTACATGCGCTCAATCTCCTCGTATCGACGACGGGGGCGCTTATGCTGTTGTGCGCCGGGAATTGGTACGAAGGAGTAGACCTAGTTAATTAAGAAAGGAATTGTCAGCAAAGCAGGTCCAAGAAAAAGAAAAGCCAGGCAGATCTCAATCGGAACACAATAGACACAGAGAGAAATGCTGTTTTTGACGATCCCTAGGAGGACGACCCGATACGCATCTGACCGGGTCGAGTCCAGAAGCGCCCAAGACAACGATAATTACAACAGAAGCCTTCGGAGATACGCTGGGATCATCAAAAACATACCTGACCAGGGCGAGGCCCTGCGGTCGTAGCAGGAGAGGCGGAACCAACCGTTGTAGCGGGAGAAGCATAAGGTCCCGGCATATGATGCCCCTGACCGTAATGCGGTGGCCAGTCACGGGCGTACATCTGGTGTGGAGGGGGCGGGTGGCCCTGGTATTGAGCCATCTCGTGTCCTCCCTGGGGTTGGTAAGGGGAGTACGGAGGAGGGTAGGTCGGGCTGTTTGCCGGGAGCGAGGGATCTAGAGGAACGGCGTCGTCAGACTTCAGGTTCGGGGAAATGCGCGGGGCCGCAGGCATGGACATGGACGAGAACGGACTTGTTGCTTGAGCCATACCGGGCGCACCACCAGGTTGGGAGTTCGGAGCGTAAGACTGAGCGGGGCGCGGAAGGTAGTCTTGGTAAGCGGGCGAGCGAGTTGGAGGTGGATTGAGGCCGTAATCCGGCTGGGGGGTGTTGGAAGATGAAATATTGGCGGGTCGAACCTCGGGCTGCGGCGTGTACTGGGGAGTGGAGCGCACTTCAGGTTGAGGAGTGTGAGTGTAGTGAGCAGTGGCAGCAGCCGAAGTTTGGTCTGCGGGAGGTTGTTCAGAAGGTGTGTCGACAGGTTGTGCTGGTGGGTGGTGCGAACCTGACTGTGCGTACTCGGAGGTGGGCCGGTTGTCCATATAAAACGGTGGGGAGAGAGGAGTTTGGTCGCGCGCGCGCCGAACAAATTCCTAGAGGATTGGCGCGTTCAAGGCTAAAACGCGTCGACTTAGTTATAGGTTGAAAGTGGGAGGTGAAGGTGAGGGTGAAGATGGTAGATGTGGTAGATGGAAAGGGTAGGTGAATATGGGGGGAAGGAGGAGCGGGAAGAGGAAGTCGGGGAAATGTGACAAGTTGGGGGCACGTTGCAAGCAAGGGACTAACGACTCTAGACTCTCGCCACGTTGGATTGGAAGGAGGGGAGGTGGCACATACAAGTTCAGAGAGGTCGAAAGTTGTAAAAGGCTGAAGGTAGTAGAGGTAGAGGGGAGAAATGCAGATCCCAGTCGTGTGGAGATAAAGCAGGACTTGAAGGGATCGACGCGTAGTGTAGCCAGGCGCGTTCAACGAAGCCCGATGCTTAAATCTTAGTTCGGTTTTTTTGTATTTTTTCCCCTGGTGATTTTAGGAAGAGAGAGATGCCTTGCAGGGCGGTCAGCACGAGGCACCGGGGGTATCAAAGGATGACTCGAAGGGAAAGAAAATCGGATTGAAGAGAGAGGGGAAACAAGGAACTTTGGACCTAAAAGGCCGTTCGGCAGCACTTGAGGACGTCCTCGTGGGATCCGAGGATGCGGTGGACCCCGGTGGAGTTGGCGTAATTTTGGTACGGAGTACATTACACGATAAAACGAGGATCGAGATTGCTTTATCAGTAGTAATATAATACATTGTAGCATAGCGCTGCACATTTCATCATGATCATTCAAGTGATAATTTCAATTATCATTCCAGGGTTACAGCAGAGTATTCTATCCAAATCCTATTTAGTACTCCGAGTCTGTATCTGTATCGCCTGGAGGATCATGAATAATGTATGAATATAAATCCAGAATAATCATAATCTTAATCATAGTCATAATCATAATTATAATTAATTATAAATAAATGAATCTTATTCTCTCTCCGTACGGGCCCATTCCCTTTTCCACACAATCCTCCGACTGGGTTGGCCCCCTTTCCCCTCACACCGGCTAAGTGTTCCATTTTCCGTGTGATGAGATTTTTTTTTTCTCTTTTTTCCTGCGGATCCCAGGGGGGGAAGGAGAGGAGGGGGACAGGAAAAAAAGTGGCGAAAATAATTACAGTATTTCTGTAAATCATTCATGTGGTAAAATATTATTTGTTCAATCTCTTTTTGTAATCTCTCCCATCGGTCTTTTCTGAAGTAAGAACAAAGTAGATGTACACTTCCTTAGTGATCTCTTAGTGATCTTAGTGATATTGGATTTAGCCTCCCATCAGACTAGTCTACCCGCAATTCGGGCGCGTCTCACGACGGTGAACCTAGCGTCTACGCTCCGTGGGTACTAACCAAGATCGCTGTGACGGGCGATGGACGATGCGGGAGGTCAGGGGGGGGGGTCAGGGTAAAATGGAAACAGAGGAGGGGGAGAACCGGCGCTAACACCGATTGGAGTCAAACCAAGAGGCTGCTAGGAATGGCGTGCCCGAGGAACCTCAACCGGGGGGTGGTGTAAAGAGTGGGAAAGGGTGGAAACGAAGCCCAAAGTAGGATAGTAGGCAGCGGGCCCGGTGCAACTAAGGGAGAATAGGGGATAGCGCAAGCCGGGGGAAACACAAGCGACCTTCGGGAGGACCAGGGCTAGCGTGGACGGTGGAGTCTGGTAGGTTTGAGTATTTTGGTTCTGTCCCTAAAGTAGTTTAGTTGGGTGGGGTTACTTTTAGGGCCAAAGCGAGAGAGAGAAAGAGAGAAAGAGACAGAGCCGAGGCGGTTGAAGCCGGCTTCCTGATGGGTTACATTTACATTGTACGGACTGATACACAGAATATAGGTACTTGCACTTACACTTGCATGTATACTCTAGAAGGTGTATAGCTATGGCTATAATGATAATTATAGTATAGATATGTACTGTCTGATCGTTCTTGAACGCCATACGCCGAACCCTGGCACTCACAAACTCCTGTCTCGCATTGATGAAAATGGCTCCGTACCATACAATAATACCCAGGAACGCGCCGGTGGAGCCAAACAAATCCCTACCCACCGTGATCGGAGGCTATCTGAGCTCATGACACCTCTAGGTTTGCATCGCTCGGATCAAGGCACTACCATTGGGAAATTAGGACATACACACGTACACACTGTATAGCCTTATTGACCTGGGTAGGGCTTAACGCCGGAGAATTCCGCAATGGCCATGGCCATGGCCATTGCCAAGGCCAAGTAAAATCCATACAACCTCTCCCTCCCTCTTTCCCTATGCATGAATGCAAAAAGAAAAAGAAAAAAAAAAATAATGAAAGAAAAAGCAAGGAATAGGGGGGACCCCACCTAGGCGATTCGCCCGTACGAGTATGTATGTACGAGTACATGTACTCATTCAAGTTCGCGCTGATACTTTCTGATAGAGGCGTGCTACCATGGTTCCCGGATTCCCCCTCTCTCTTTACCTAAGGACATTCAACTTTGGCGCCTATCATACGACTGCCAGTAATTATAGTATCTGGACTCCATCGTAAGCATCGCAAAGGGGAAAAGGGGGAAAGAGCTGGGAAATCGTTGCACTCCATTGGTCATCGCCCTGACCACCCCGACCATGCCCCGTTCTCTACCTTAGGGTCCCCCCCCCCCCATCTCTTTCGCTGTCCCGTTTGGACTCTCCAGGTTCTCATAACCATTCGCAAGGGTCATTCCATACTCCGTACCGTACGAGAGAGAGTCCGCGTCTCTTCCCCTTCCCGGCCCAACAATCGCCCATCGGCGGAGCATCGGCGGCTCTCCGGGACTTTTGACTTTTTTCGCCATTCACAGCACAGGGCAGCCTCGTGAAAATAAACGAAAAGTGGATCCGGTCATGACCAAGACCCAGCACACCTTCGATGGCCCTGTTTACCCTCAGATAGGAAGAAAACGGGGTGCAGAATAATGCAAGGCTCCCACCGCGGAAAAAGGCAAAAAAAAATAATCAAAAATCAAAATCAAAAGGGCCAGTTGCTCTGTTTCGCCCGTTCCTGTTCTGATTGGTCCTTAACACATACTGGAGAAAGTTACCCACCAAGCCGTGCAGGGCGGACTTGGTTCATCCACTATGTACTCCGTACCGGTGAAGAAAACGAAAGCACCAGAACGACGCAGAAACAGCCGCCCCCAAATGATCCAGCAAAAAAAGGGGGGAGGGGAGAACGGGGATCGGAATCATTTCGACCGATTGCCTCATGCATGACGATAAATCCGCATTTCCCATATTTGCCATGAATTGAATACATCGTATCGTAAATGCCTCAGACCAACCCGCTTTTATTTTAAATTCCCTTGCTCAGTCGTGGTCGGCAATCTGGCAAGAGTACCTCAAATCTCCGCTCTCGCGGCCGCGCCCAGTGGGCCAGTCCGCGGAGAGCGCCGTGCCAGCGTGATTGAGGGCCCATACGGGATATCCGGACGCTGTTCCGGGATGATCGATATCAAATTCATAAGGCGCCCCGGTCATTGGACGCCGCAGCCGCATCGTCTCCAGCGCGCGGGTTACGTCCAGCGTGGCCTCACTTTGAGTCCCAGTTTTCATTTTCATGTTCTGCGTGTCTGTATGTGTACAAGTATCTTTGGACGGAGCACGGGAAACAGCACACTGGCCGAACTTGTGCTCCGTACCGAGTACGACTGTCGGTACGAGTACTCATCTCGTATGTATGGAGAAGGAAGGGCGGAGGACTCTGGACCGGTTTGTTTCTACTCCATCTGTCAACTTATGTATGCGGCTGTTGACGCAAAGAGTTTGGCATTCAGTATGAAGAGCGGAGTACGGAGTACATACGATGTACCTCACTCTTTGTTCTTAGGGGGGTTCCCCATGTAATTTGCTTTTCCCCCTATGTACGAATTCTGTGTGTACTTCCATATTATGTACATACCGCCTGTAGGTCAATAACCCCCCCTGCATCTTAACGGTCACCGTTAGTAGTAGATGCGCTTTCCGCGGCTGTGGCTTCGTCCGATGCATAGAACAGAGTTTCATTAGTGAGTAGTGCTTGCAATCCCACTCATGAATCTACGACTAGTGCTCTTTTCTCCGTACATAAAATATCAGTGGCGAACAGGAACGGATGGATCAAATTGCGCCACGGCTATACTCCGGAGGAAATGGCCAGAGTCCGCGATCCGCTGTACCAGCTGCACTGGACACAAGCTGGGGCAAGCTAACGAGAGCACGTTCGCGTTCCCCAGAATGCCGCTGCTCTGCTCTGCCCTGGGCTGGGATGGGCTAACACTAGCGTATGTAGCTCCGTTTACTGTACTCCGTACAAGCTGCCCACGCACTTGCACCAACGATGATCCCCGGCCAGGAGAGCTGTCAAGTCAAGCTCGGGTACCTTGCCCACACACACCTCTTGCCGAAGGAGATTCCCACGCCCCGTGCTCAGGGTAAGGTGCGAACCCACTTGGTGCACTTGGAACACCTGCTTCTTTTCCCACTCCACCCGCACTCGCACTGGCCAAGTGTGGGTGGAGCGGGAAAATGGGATGCTACGCCGTACACGGTAAGTCTTACCCGCCCATCCTTCGGCAGATCGAATTAGGCCTCAGAGGAATGGTCGACCGTGCGCTGCCTGCATCCCAGATGCTGATCAAGTTCAATCTTCCGGGCCATTTACCTATTTGGCCTGTTCAGACCTAAATCTGGATCCCTAGCGACGCGGCGATGGAACCGATCTGGTTTATCCTCGGATTCGGCTAAGTTGAAGACGAAGAGCCGGGAATGGGGTGAAATGCTAGTAGACGTACTGTACTCCGTAACTATGAGCATATGCCACCCGTTGGAGTACGGAGTCAAGGAATGGGAAATAAGAATTAGGGGGGGGGAAGCCCGGAGTGGGGATGGGCAAGATTGGACTCCCTGTTAACGCAATTTGCACATGCTGACCAAATCAAGGTCAGGAAGAGGACGACCACTAGATCAGTCTAGTCAAGGATGCGAATTCCGAGACAGGGGGGTTAGCAGAGTCAAGTGCTTTTTTTTTCGTGCTGGGTACAAGTTATGTACGGAGTATACCAGGTACTTTGTTGACAGGGATCCTGATAAACAATAAATCAAGATTAATATTTAATATCTGAACGAATACGGCGGGATTAACTTGATTGAAAGGGCACAACAAACCAAGTCGCAACCCTGGTCGAACACTAAGCCTGGAAAAGTCAATGTCTACCGTCCAGAGCACGCGGTTGGTGGAGTCTCACTTAGCTGGATTTCCATCTGAATGTTTAATGTCCGCGTTCCCACTGTGGCTGCGAACTGGCAAACGCAATTGGACTCATCCTCGAGGGAATAAATTACCCAGCCAGCTCTAGCGACGGGGGGAAGAGGTTACATTTTCCATGCATATTCTTCGTCCGCTCCGCGCAGCTGGCAAGAGGCAGCCCACGCGCGGCCAGTAGGTGCATTGCATGACAGGGGCCGTGTCCAGTTAGCGCATCCTGGACGCGGGGTTCCGGCTGGACGGCTTGCCAAAGTCGACATTTCCGGGATTAGGATACGTAGGCCACGTTTTTTCCTTGTTCTTGGTATCCAGGATTTGTGTAGATAGCAAGGTTGGGATATACAGCACTGGTACCCCCTATGTTGTGTCATAGAAAGGTCGCCAAGGAATCTTTCTCTCTTGATGGCTGGAAAACCGGGCTGCACCTCGCTCTCTTAGGAACCATCGCCTGTACCGAGCTGCAGATCCAGAGAAGCTTTGGGGCCGATGCATGCATGTCTTTCCCCTCGGCAATCAACTCGTGGTGCTTCACTGGTTGGAAATAACTGGTCCCAATTTTGAGATGGCATTGCTGCAGCTCATCTGGAATTGGCATTTGTTCAAGGTGGTAGTCTTCCAAGGTTGCGGCCCGATCGTCGAATATATGCGCTGGCAGAGAAAGTGTTTTATTTTCGTCTTTGCCTTTATGCCACGTCTTCCGCAAGCGACTACATATTGGAGAGATAAATGTACATGTACATGCATACCATCGCGTCGACCGGTATGTACTCGGTAAGATTACGATCCCAACTAAACAATTGCCCAGGCTAAGCTAGCTGTGTCGGGTCTGGGCTGACAGATAAACGAGCAACCGGATCAACTCTTTATGGAGAAGCTGATTTGGCACCTCCATGATCAACATCTGAGGCTGCTTCTGGGTTAGTAAGAGTACATAGACCATCTGTCGTGGAACCAGAGTAAAGATACCACTAGCATCCGCACAGCCTCTCTGTGGACCATTTTAAGCATAAGCTTTGGCAGTTGGGGGTACAATCTAGAACCAGTCGTACTAGATTGAGCCACTAGACTAGATTTGGTTCGTTATAGGCTCTAGTGATAGGAATTGTCGATGTACACCTTCCATTCTCATCGTTGGCGGCGAGACTAGGCACGCTGGGGATCAAAGCTATATGTCACGAACTATAGTCCCAACCGCCACACTACAAGCAATGAGCATCCACATCAATTGATTCTGAACCATAACTAGTCCGCAGGCGTACTTTAGTCCGATGTTTCAGCCTTATAGGGAAATCGGAGATTTTGCATCGCATCTTCTCGACGTCTCTATGTCGATCACGACCATGAGGCCCCAGGTTTCGCATGTTGAGAAGAGGTATAATATAGAATTCCGTCAACTATATATAAACTAGCCTTTAGAATGTCGCAACCAATTCTTAGTTTGGCGGAAAAATATAATCCGTCTCTAGTCAAAATTTCCCCGGATCTGATCGCTTGCGGGGTACTGGATATATTTCCCATATGGATACCAGTGGCAGTGACATCCATGAATATAAATCATCCCGGAGAAAAATTTGATCTGAACAATATCCAACTACTTAGGAAGGAGCTGCCAACCTGAAAACAATATCCCTCAATTCAAATCTTACCGAGCCGAAGAAATGCAGTTACCACTCGTCTTATCTTGGTTGTTGCTTCTCACCTCTGTCCGAGCCGTAGATGCATCACCAACTGGGAAATCAACAGACAAATTCCAATGGTCATCCAAAAAAGGGCTGTAAGTGAAATAAATGTGAATGAAATTCATATTTCTGGATGGAAATCTGACACCTACTTTAGGATTGCATTTGGAGATTCATATACCTACGTCCAAGGAACTCACGGGCACCAAAACTACAGCTTCATTGGGGATGCTTTCGATTTTGCCTTCGACGAGCATACTCTATTCTCCAATAAGATAGTACAAAATCAAGTAATGCCTTCCCCTTACAATGAATCCTTCTCCTATCTTCCAATTTGACTAATATACATACTTATATCTAATTAGACAGCAACAGCCGAAGGAGGCCCAAATTGGGTAGAATATCTCACAGACTGCGGCGTCAAACCAGGCCTAACCTCACCACGAACCTGCCAAAAGCAACTCTGGGATTTTGCATTCGCAGGCTCTGACATTTCCACCCAACAGTTCGTACCCAGTCCCACCAGTCCTTCATTTTCGAACCCAAGCTCTCGGGAAGTACTAGCACATACTAGTTAGTACTACTCTAGTCCGGTAGCAATACTAACAGCATAAATCACCACCAGCACCCCCCTCCACCACAACTTCACCGTCTCCCTCGTAAACCAAACCCACCAATTCAAACAATACGCCCACACCCCCCCTAAGCAAATTCCTCCAACAAAAGGACTCCCTAATAGCAATCTGGATCGGCATAAATGACATAAGCGACAGTTCCAAATACACCGTCGACTTTCCCACCTTCTACAAGTCCCTCACAAGCACCCTCTTCACCTCCGTAACCGACCTATACAATCTGGGCTACAGATCATTCCTCTTCATGAACCTTCCCCCCCTGGACCGGACACCGGGGAACCAAGTCTCTAGCTCGCCGCACCCGAATGCAACACAGGTGGGATGGTATAATGCCGCGCTATCCGAACAAGCACGTCTATTCGCGCGTGAAAGAACCGACGCTGAGGTGAGGGTCTTTGATGCTCATGCTCACCTGAGTGGGATTTTGGATCATCCTGCTCGGTATGGAATTGTTAATACGACGAGCTTTTGCGCTGGGTATGATCAGCCTGATATCGGGGAGAATTATTTGAGTTATGGGTGCCCTACGCCGTTGGATACGTATTTCTGGTTTAATTCTGGACATATGACTAGTCATGTGCATCGTATTCTGGCAGAGCAGCTACAGGAATGGTTACGGGGTTAGTTAGTGCGCCCCAGGAGAGATGTATGGCTGATAGGGTTGACCAGTTGACTGTCTGTAAACTGGAAACGCACTGGTATCTACTTGCTGAAGCTAGGCTTTACCGATGGAGAAATAGTTCAATGATCAACTTTTCAATTATGAACATACACACTTGACTGGCTTGTTGATCAGGTGAAGCGACATTGCGCTGAAATCCAGAACATAGAATAACTTTTGCGAATAATCAACATGTATGATTTGGCCACGTGAACCCAAACTCTAGGATTTGCGGAACAGGTGGGAACAAAGACCCGGGGAGTGAGGAACTCATCGCCAGATACTCATGTAACCGATTAAAAAAAACCATGTAAGACTGTCTATGACATCGAAAGTAACGCCGTCCGTACCGAATTACGCGAGAACCGAAGTGAAGCAAAAAGAAAAGAAAAGGGGGTCTACCGGTAACACAGAGCAGGGCGAGCTTGAGGAATTGCTCGGAGGAGGGCGCGTTTACCAACGACGGTTACCACCAAGACCGCTGGTATTGGAGCCGGTCACACCGCCACCACCACCACGGCCCCAGCCACCACGGCCACGGCCACGGCCACCACCCCAGCGGCCACCACCGCCGCCACCACCGCTGTAGCGGACCATCTCAGCAAGGCGAGGATCGATCTGTTGCTTGGCCTCAGAAAGAATGGTGACCAAGTCACGAGCCTGCTTGGAGTCTGTAGGAAAATGATGTTAGATATATCGCATGGACCAAGGAATAATCAAAGGGAAAGGAAACATACTGTCAGTGGTGAAGAACGTGATGGCGGTACCCTTAGCACCGGCACGACCAGTACGACCGATACGGTGAACGTAGTCCTCGGAGTTGTTGGGGTAGTCATAGTTCAACACGTGAGTAATATCGCGAACATCTTGAATACGGTTTCGTTAGCAAACAGATCATTAGTTGGGTAATAATAAGGTGATGGCCATAGAGGGCCCCTTCTCAGTCGTGCAAGACTGGATACATCACTGCTCTCTTCAGGGGCATTTTCCAAAAGAAGAAATCCAAAAGAAGAAACCCTGGGGAAAAGGAAGCGAGTCCATGTGGTGACGGTAATCGTGGTCCTAGAGTAACCTTGGAAATAAATGCAGCTTGAACAGATCAGAAACAACGGTTGAGATACGAAAACTCCAACTCTCTTACGAGTTGCTGCCACAAAGGAGTCGGAGAAATCCTGTCAGGAACTGCTGTCTGCTACGCTGCACTGTGAGTCCAAGGTCCTCCTGGTATGGTAACCATTTGAGATGACCTGAAAGTCCGCCTGGACGAGTCGTGTTTAAACCAACACACTTCGAGAGAGTTGAGCACCGTGCCATTTGCGTCGTACAAGATCACACGGGTGAGTTTTTTCAAGGGCTCCTCAAGGAGGGATATGGGGGAGTTTGAGGGAGGGGGGGAAGGGGTGATAATTTGTTCATACCGATACCACGGGAAGCCACATCGGTGGCCACCATGATGGGGCTCTTGCCCTGCTTGAACTCGTTCAAGACCCAGTCACGCTCCTGTTGTTGCTTGTCACCGTGGATGGCTAGAGGGAAGAGAAGGTTAGCAAATGTCGTCAAGAAAAGTAGGAGTTGGGGTTTGGAACATACAAAGCGCGGGCCATCCATCTTGACGGAGGAAACGAGTGATCTCGTCGGCGATACGCTTGGTACCAGTGAAGATGAGAATCTTGTTAGAGCGGTCCTCCATGATCTTCTCCATGTGCTTGATCATGCGGTCACGCTTCTCAAAGTCGGACATAACCTCGACAATCTGGGTGATACGGTGGTTGGCGGAAAGATCCAGCGAACCGATGTTGACCTGGATGTAGTCGTTCAGGAAGTCAGAGGCGAGCTGACGGACCTCCTTGGGCCAGGTGGCGGACCACATGCAAGTTTGACGGTCAGGGCGAATCTGGCCAATGATCTTGCGAATTTGAGGCTCGAAACCCATGTCCAGCATGCGATCAGCCTCATCAAGAACCAGGTAGGTAACACGACGCAGGTTGGTACGGCCAGCCTCCAGCATGTCGATGAGACGACCGGGAGTGGCAATGCAAACCTCGACACCACGGGACAGATCACGGATCTGAGGACCCTTGGGGACACCACCGTAAACACAGGTGTTGCGAATGCGGGAGGACTTTCCGAACTTGGTGATCTCGGCCTGAATCTGGACAGCCAGCTCACGAGTGGGAGCCAGGACAAGGACGATGGGACCATCGCCAGGGGACAGCAGGGGCTGAGCGTTGATGTGAACAATAGCGGGAAGACAGTAGGTCAGAGTCTTTCCGGAACCTGTCTCAGCAATACCGACAACATCACGTCCAGAGAGGGACATGGGCCAACCCTGGGACTGGATGGAGGTGGGCTTATCGAAGCCCTGGGCCTTGACCTCGGACAAAACGTAGGAAGGGAAGCCAGCCTCATCGAAGGTCTCGACGGGGCGAGGCACACCAGTACCCTGAATAGCCATTTTGTGTGCGGCGCGGAACTCCTGCACCTGCTCTTCCGAGCGGTTGGTGACATCCTCGTGCTCCTTGTAGAAAGACTTCTCGAACTTGGGCATGGTGCTGAGGTCTAGACGATTGTTAGTATTCTTGCGGTCGGACAGGGAGAATATCCCATGGGGATTTCAGCACTTACCCCATTCTTGCTGCTTGAGACCCTGGCCGAGGTTTGACATGCGGTCACCACCAGCACCACCAAAGCCACCGCCGCCGCCGCCGTAGCCACCACCACCACCGCCGCCGTAACCACCGCGACCACCACCGCCGCCGGAGTAGCCGTTGGAGCCGCCGTTCTCATAACCACCACCGCCGTTGCGGGAGCTGGAGACACCGTTAGCAAAGGGTCACAGATCATGGTCGAAAGTGCGCGAGTGCATCGACCGGCAGACGTGGCCGGAGGTACCCGATCTCAAGCCAGGCGCCAGTTTGGGCTGGATGAGTCGAGAGATCACTCTCACAGCCAGGTACACCCAAGAAGAGGGATGCACACGCCATGTTGCGGACGAAAACGCGACAAAGGGGGTTGATCCCGGAGGATAAGAGACTTACCGGTAAGAATCGCCGCCGCGAGAATAACCACCACCGCCGTAAGACATGATGGAAACTGTGTTGTTGTTGTGAGGGGGTTGAAGTGAGGGAAATATAAAGGGAGATGAGAGGGGGAGGAGAGAAAAGAGAGAACAGGGAAGGTTGTTGACAAGGATGAGTTCGCTGAGAACTTGAGGAAGGAACAAGAAAAAAATGCCAGGGGAGGAAGGAGGCAAAAAAAAAAAGTTTCCATATCGGGTATAGTGCGCCACGTGACTCCGCCTGGCCGGGTTCCGCGGTTTCGTAACAAAGAAATTTTGTTAGAGTTTGATGGGTGGCGGTGGGTGGCAGTGGTACTCCACAGGTACGAGTAGTACACTTGACTGAACTGAATGTCAATTCTCAGATATTTGTTGACTATGCCTTGGTTCTAATGAATGATCTGTATCACAATGCCTTCTTTCAGCCTATTTCACACCCACACCACTTATATCACACCTTCTGGTCGCTTAACCCCATATCCCAGAAGCGGATCTCCAACTCCGTAGCCCGCATAAAGATCTCGATTAATTCCTCCATACGACTGGGCGATACCTTTTGCATATGTTTCTCCAGTAGTTCTACCGAAATTGAGAATTAGTTCAGCACCTGGCAAGGGAGCCCATGGTTGACTTACCGGATCCCAGACGAACTGCTTCCGTATAGTCCTCGGCGACATAGTTCTCAATCCATTTCCAAAATTGGTTCCCCTTTCGGAGAGTGCCTTCTTCAGAATGAAGTCGCCTGGCAATGGTACCATATCCGATCAAACAAGGTGCCAGCGCCATCTGTAGCGCGAGCCAATCCTCGGATTGTCCCACGTCAAGTATATACCGGCTGTATGCAGTGCACGCTACTCCGGGATGATCGAGTCAGATACTGGATGGAACGAGGAGGGATTTGAAACTTAAACCAAACGAAGGATGGGACAAAGAACGATAACACTGACCGATTGTTTCCGAGTGAGCCTCTATCTCTTCTTTAGATAGACCAAAAGATGCACAGTAGTCCAGATGCAGTGCCATTTCTCGCTGAATGTGTAGTACAATTTGGGCCGACTAAATTTGAGTCAGATATGAGGCAATAGGAAAACTAGATAAATACTTACTGCTGCTATCGAATCCATCGTCTTTGCCTTGTAAGAGGCAAGTGCGTTGCTTCGGGCGAATTGAACCTGGAAGTGTTTAATACTTTGTCTCGGGAGTGTCAGAGAAGTGGGAGTGGCGCGAAAGAACTCACCAGGTATAGATAATCTTGCACGAGATACTCCTTGAATCGATCCAGGGGAAGCGTACCCTGGCCCAGGCCCTCAACAAACTCATGATGGGTAAACTTCTGCCAGACTGTCTGAACATCCGGGCGATCTAGAACGTATTCAACGAATCGACCGCTGCATATTGTCCCGATTAGCGCATGCATATATATCAAGAACAAAGCGAGAGGATAACATACGGCGCAAAAGGCATCGTGTACATCGAGTGGAAATGGTTAATGGGCCCACTTCCCTTGCCAAGATCAGTACTCGTTTTAATACCTACTTCAACGAACCGAACAGCGTTGCGAACCGCTCGGATCGTGTCCTTCCCTTGGGCCAGGTTTGCCGCAATTGCCGATGCCAATGAGCAGCCAGTACCATGCGTGTTCTTAGAAACCAAGAATTCCGTCTCGAACAAAGTTGTGGTATCTTCATCAACGAGAATATCAACCACAATAGTTCCATCTTGTGGGGTTTGGGCCGTTTTGTGGTCCTTCGTGAGAGGGAGGTGGCCACCCTTCAGCAGTACAGCCTTGGGACCCAGCGAGCGTATCTGTTTAGCAAGTGAGATCATTCCAGCCAAGTCTGCAGGTTCCGGAGCTTCATCGCCGGCATCCTTGATAAGAAGCTGAGCCTCCGGAATATTGGGGGTCAGGATGGTCGTGAGAGGGAGAAGCTTTGTTCGAAGTTCTTTAACAGCCTTTTCCGGGAGCAACTGTGACCCGCTGGTGGAAATCATTACCTATTCGATTATAAGCACAAGAAAAGTAGATAAATCGGGCAGAGTGTCTGTTACCGGATCAAGGACAATTGGGGGAAGCTTGTGGGCTTGCAGTGTTTCTGCGATGACATCAATCGTCTCGGCGGACGATAGCATTCCTGCTCACGGTCAGCAAGAGGATTTGGGTAGGGTCACAACTGTTGGAAAAAAAGGACACACCCAGCTTCACTACATCAGTGCCTACATCCTCAAGGCCAGCATTGATTTGCTTTCGAACAAACTCAGCGGGGACAACAAAGATGTCCTGCACGCCGAGGGTGTTTTGTGCAGTGAGTCCGGTTGTAGCTGTGAGGGCATAAACACCATGAGCTGCCAAAACTCTCTGGTCAGCCTCAAGACCGCTGTTGACCGAATTAGCTTCAAACGTTCACATATTGAGCCGTTGATCCGGCAGTATCAATGCGATGCGTCAACGAGGGTAGCAGCACGCATGCCGTTTACCGACGGAGGGGTACGGAACAAGATTGACTTACGCGCCACCTGAGCTGTCAGACCCTGCGATCACAAGAACCCGCTTGACTGACATGATTCAAGCCAATTGAATTGCCAGGATACGACGGAGGGAAAGTTGGAAAAGCCGCCGCAACGAGGGTGGGGGAGGTGAAGTGCGATAACCGATAACACGATTTGCTTCTCTCCAGTTGGTTCCTCCATTTGATGGTGGGTCGGGGTGCAGCATAGAGCCACTTTGAGTGTCATCTTTGTTCAATCTGTTTGAATTCTCTTTTATTCTTGATCTTTGGATTTGAAAGTATCCACATGAGCTGCTTAAAAAATTAGCTAGTACCGCTATTAGCCTTGACCATTACTGTTTAGCACCGCACATCGCAACCACTAAAAGCCTGGAAGTATGAAACTTCAACATTAGATCGTTTGAAAATCTACCTATAGCACATTTCTATCTACTTTGAATATCTGGAACATTGAAAAAAGCCACTTGGACAGTGATGTCATCTCGAATGTGGCGGGAGAAGGGGGCTCCAAATGCTAGACGACCTGCGATCAACTCATGATGATTTCCTCCAAGGGAATTGCGTACAAGATGAACCGCAGCGTTCTCATCTTGCACAGTTGTTCTCTCCTCCATGAACTTCCAGTTCATCCCTTTCAAAAATTGCCCAAAGTCGAATGGTTCGTAGGTTGGTTCCAATTCCACTCTTTTCTCTGATGGCTCGAGCCACTTTCCCACCAAGTCGACCGCTTGTTGATTTGAAAGCATATCCCACAAGCCATCCGAAGCCATAATAAGGAATGAGGGCCTGCTCGGGTCGATCTTCGTCGATGTAATGACCGGTTCTGCGGTTAGATAGGGTGGTGTTCGCACATCGTATCTAGGCGTCAAGGGCGCGGGCCCGTTGAAGTTTTGTTTCATTTCTTTCTGAAATTCCAGAGACCATTTCCACCGGCTATCGCCGAACGCACGAGATACTGCCAATCCCAGTACGCGGCCGTTCTTGACCATCTCTTCTTCCCCAGGATGCTCTTTTTGCAACCTTTCAACCTCCTCCGTGTTATAGCCTGTTTGATCAATGGACAACGGAATTGCCTCCCATTTTCCATCCGGACCCTTTTGCCCTAGAACCGCCCTGGAATCACCGGTGCAGGCCACATGCAATTTGCTTGAGACGGGATCATAGAGAGACAAGAGAGCGCAAGAGCCGGCATAGGCAGGAGCCAGCAGCTTCACCTTTTCGTGCAGTGGGATTTTGCTTCGCGTCAATTCAGCAGCGTCGTCAATGATTGCTTTGTCGAGATCCATGAACCCTTTAGTGATAGCATCATGGATCGATTCTTCAGCCACGGAGTCGTTGCTTGGGAGAGACTTCATTTGACCAAGACTGTGCGCCAAGAAAGGCATCAGCTGCTTCTCCAATAGATCGGCTGTCTGCGACCCGGCATGTCCATCGAAAACAGCCCAAGTCATCCATTGACTGCCATCGTTCCGAGGGGATGGGAGTTTACCATGGAGAAATTTGTCCTCACAAGGGCTGTTGGAAGCTAATTGTGTACCATAGTATCGATCAACACCGGAAACATTATCGACTTTGTGAGAATATGCTCCTTCCGAGACAATTTGGGTGACTTCATCCTTAGATGGGCCAGGTGGAAGGTTCAATTGAGCTGTTGGGGAACCTTCGAAGCGTGGAACATCATCCCGCGTTGTTGTCAACCACCAAAGGCCCGGAGAACTGATAAACCCAAAAAGAGCGATATTCCTTCTGAAATTGGAAGATGGTACTTTTGTTGAATAGGGATGACTCGCATGTGCTCGTGGGATTCCGCGACTTAAACGCGCTCGAATTACGCGAGAGAGAAACATTGTTGCTCAAAGCAACGAAGAAGATGCGGATAGGAACCCAGGATGAAAGAGTTTCAGTGAGTTTGAGCTAAAGATGACAGGAGCATGGAATCCTCCCAATTTGACCTTCGGTAAGGACAATTGCAGCTCGCGCTGAACCTCGGAAGGGCACCTCCCTTGCGTTAAATATGCTTAGTCATCATACAAACAGCCCGGATGTTAAATCTGAGAGGAAGTTTGGACATGGCTGATTTGTTGACTTGGAAGGTTTAGAGAAGGGAAAAAAAGAAAGAAAAAGCAAATATAAGTTTGCATGAATGCTGCAAGGCCTGGAGATAGGATCGATCAGTGGGATCAGATGCCTGCCATTACCTTTCTTTACAGGGGTCCGACCTCCGCTAACCTTGCCCAGATTAGCGTATCGCCCTGGCTGGTTTGTGTTTATGTACAATCTGTCATCGTGAAAGACATCTTCCGTATAAATATCCAAGTCTCTCTGCGGGTACGAACTGGTAGTTACTAGTAAGTTTTTAACATTGACTCGGAGACATACCCAATTAGTTGCATCCAGGAATCAAGAAGTAAACCTTCAACATACTAACAACATCTTTCTCTTCTGAAGGTGTGAGGTGTTACTTCTCGAATGATAAAAAATCACATAGTAGTAAAAGAAGCAGCTCATAAATCCTGAAAACAAATGAAGATAGCATTAGGCAAATTGATGCCTCATAACCCCGGGCCATCCAAAGAGAAAAACCTATGTACAAAATCCCCCCCAAAAAGTCATACGCCACCAGGGCATTTATTGTAACATGAAGCGGAAAAGGCTGTCCATCTCAACCCACTGCCGACCGCACTTCTTCAAATAGCCATCAGCAACCGTCTTGATCGTGCCAAACCTTGTCCGGTTGAACTCGGCGAGAGCAGCGAGGCTATCCTTCTTTTCCCCAGTCTCCTTGCTGGCCGCAGTCTTCGCCTTCTCCACATCCCAGAGACCGGAGAAGTACAGGAGCTGGTTGTAGATTTGCTTCTCGTTGTACTCATAGGACATACGGCCCAGACAGCCCTCGGCACGACCTCGCGGACCGAGACATCGGTGTCCGTATACACTGATCTGTCGCGTGCGGTTGCCACAGGCGGAGTCGTCGCAAACCAGCCATCCCTCATAGTATGCTGCTGTTTGTTCACGAAGCTGGCTCTCCAATTGTGCGACAATGCTGAGGACAGAGAATGGTTTCTGGCATCCTTCGTTGGGACAGACGATTCCATTGGCGGTACACATTTGGGGGGGAGTCTACCAGTCCTTCGAAGGTGGAGTCTAGTGTGCAGTGTCGGCACTTGAGAGTGAAGCGTGCTGCATCGGCAAACCGGACGGAGTCGGGAATCTGGGACTCCAAGGGGAAGATCTCGGCATCTTGTTGCTTGTTGGCACTCGAGGTATTGATCTGGTACTTGCGGGTATCAAGTCCAAGGCATTCGGCGAGGCGGACAGCATCGGTACCGGGAATCGGTGCACACAAACGCTCAATGGGAGGGAATATTTGCTTCAGAAGGTAGAATTCGATATCAGGCTTGAGTTCCGAGTTTGGCCTCAGAACATCTTGAGGGCTGTAAGATCGCTTGGCTGGGGGTAAAGCCGCTGTCTCGGCGTCGCCGCTGGTGACAATGTAGGAGATAACGTCGTTTGGTCGAATGTTCTTACCCCGAGCAATGTCTCGGAGGGCAACCTGTGCTGGCGGCATACTCTCCTTGTTGGGATATTCTTGGGGTCGTTTAGAAAGTTTCTGTGAAATCGGAATGGTTAGCACTTAGATGTCACCAGCTGTCTTCTGTGTTCCACCTACCGTGTAAATAACGTATTTCTGAACAGGAACCGCGAACTCCTTCATCTTTTCAGCTAGTTCGCGCAGATATTCGTGAACCTTGTTGAGGACAACTTCCTGATCTTCACCAGACAAAATCTCATTGAGAAGTCGGGAAGAGACCTCCTTCGACAGCGCACAGTATTCACGTCTCTTCATATCCAGACCCTTGACCTCAAGCTTTTCGATGTACTTGCCATCTACCTCTGTAAGGTTGACAGCGGCATACTTCTTCTTCGCATGCAGCAACAGGCGGCGGAAAACATTATCAATGTCAATTTCTAGCAGTCGATAGCGTTCGTTGACTGATTTCTTGAATTCTTCTCCGACCTTCAGCGCGTCGCTGAGAGTGTCCATGTTGGTGTTAATCATGACGGAATCTGTGTCACCATAAATGACACGCAGCTGCTTACTCTCAGCCAGGTCTTTGGTGCTGCGAAGAATCTCACGACCCTTGAAGGTAGTGAGCATCGCCAGAGGGCGAGCGTAGAAACGACTTTGGGTGTATCCCAAACAACCGTACATTGAGTTCGCAGTAAGCTTGAAGGCAAGTTGCTTCGTATCCCACAGAGCCAATTGCTCGGGTGTCGCACGCTTGTCCTTCATCAGCTTCTTCACCTCGCGTCGACGACCGACCAAGGTTGAAATGAGACGTGGAAGAATGCCTTGATCTTGGTCTGAAGAGGGGACTTCAGGTACCTTCTCCTCATTCTCATTTTCAGCCTGTATTGCAGTCAGTAAATGTTCCGTGATCTCAACGGCTCTCAGAGAGTGGGTACTTACCGAGGATGTTCGGTCCACCGTTGTAAAGCAGATGTTGTACTCCTGAATGATACTTGGGTACAGACTGTTGAAATCCATAACCAGGATGAATCGATCATACAATCCCTTTTCGGGTTCAAAGACGAGACCTCCCTTATACTTGTCCTTCTTCTTCTTGTCACCGGCCTCTTCATCGTCGCCATCTTGCATTTTCTCTTCGGCTTTTTGCAGACGTGCAGAATACTTGTCGGGGCAAATGTACTTGTTGCGATGGAATTCATGAAGCAGAATGTACTCGTTACGCTCAGCGCGAGTACCGCTCAAAGTACGTGCCCATGAGTTACCAGCGATGTTCGTCAATACCTTGGTGAGAGGAAGCATTTGCAAGCGCAAAACCAGGGCGGCAACGAAGTAAGTATCTGTATCGGCGTGGTTGACAAAGTTCATGAGACCTTCTTTGGTCGATGCCCACGATTTCAAAGCTGCCTCAACATCGACCTCTTGGCGAACATTACCTTCGCCGAGATAGAGCTGGCACATTTCCGACAAGCTCCACGATTGACATTTCATCATAAGAGACTACTCGTTGGGTTAGTGATCTGATTATGAATATAATTGGACAGTCCTTACCTTGCCCATGTCGTTGCCAGTATCACACAGCAGTCTACCTGCGATAAGTTGTCGCTCAGCAAAGAAGCTGCCTCCCCTGTTGAAGTTCTTTGGCCAGTCGCCACGGCGGAGTCGACCAATGCGGTGCCAACCTGGAGTCTTCTTCTCTTTCATACGATTGAGAAGAATGCTGAGGTCGACATCTTGCAATTGGTGGCCCATAATGACATCTGGGTCCATCTTCTCGAACAATGCTAAGAATTTACTCAGCAAGAATTGCTCGCTCTTCTCGAGCATGAAAGTGCCTCGTTGCTTTTTCGTTTCGGCCTCGAAGTGCATTGGGTAGGAGTTTCCAGCTGGGCGCATAACGGTGAATGTCTTGCAAGGAAGCTTTTCAGGAGGTGTAGTATCCGTCAGAGAAACATTTTCGTAGACTCGAGCACTGGCCAAGAGGATCTCCTGCTTGTTTTCCTTCACGTTGAGTTGGGTACGGAAGGAAAGACTCATCAAAGTCAGGGGTGGCGTATCGAGGTTCTCGGAATCTGGAACTGGGCTGATGAGAGCCGGCTTGGATGCCTGGCACTCGAATTTGCACCAGGAAGCGTTGTTGACAGCGGAGAAGTCGGCTTCGTCGATTTTGAGCCAGCAAGGACCCATGATATTTTTCCATAGGACAAACTGCTCGAAAAGGGAAGTGTTTGTGCCAAAGACGTTCGAGAAAGTCTCGCCCTTGACATCCATTGGCAGGGCGGGTTTGTCGTATGGGTATAGTAGCTTGAGATATTCGCTCTCCTTAGGAACGCCTCGCATCTCAAATGCATACTTTCGGGTGCAAGGTTTGATCTTGTGCATACCAACACGCACACGCGTCATCATCTCATCGACCTCCTGATAAACGTCTTCCATACCAACTTCCTCCTCGGTTTCCCGTCCTTGTTTGTGACGGTGCTCGCGTGGCAGGAAGTACAGCTTGCGCAGGATGTTGTCGACCTTCACAAATGCACTGACATAAGATCCGTTCTGCTTGTTCTTCACCTTTCCGAACAAACAGAGACTGCCGTTGACCTCTGTGTAGTCGAGCCAGAACATTCGCAGACTTCCATCTTCTTCCACAACATCCTGGGCACGCAGCTTTCCGAAGGAACGCATCTCCGGTGCCGGGCTGCTAAGAACATTAAGCTTGTCTCTCACATCATTCCAAGAAGGATCCATGACTTCTGGAGCGGCCTTGGCTGGCGATGAGCTTGCAGGGGTCGGGAGAATCTCTTTCTTGAGCTTCGGCGGAGGCCGACTGCCGGTCATATTGATGTTGGCTGTCTTTGCGCCTGCGCTGACGGTCGCTTGTGCCACATCCATCATATCAATATCTTCATCATCAGATACCTCGTGCTTGATGATGGGAACAATCGTCTTACGCTCCACGGCCTTGCTGATGGGAGATGAGGGTAGGGGGTCGTTCATGTCCACATCATCATCGTCGGCCATGGGAAGCGGGCCATCCGAGTCGAGGTTGGACTGTTCCAACTTGACCGGCGAACTTGGCATATCATTTTCGTCTTTCGGGCGAGCCTTTTCGATGCGTCGCCTCTCGGACAAGGGCGGGGAGAGCACCCGAACTTTGCGTCGGGCATCGGACTTGATGAGATTTCGCGTAGGAACGTGTTTGCGAACGACGTTTGTATCGACTTCTCCGAGCAGGTCGGCCATGAAGGCATCATCTTCGGCGGTGGCAACGGGCTAGTCGTAGTCGGTCTTGTTAGAGGGGACACCTGCGAGGGAGGGTACAAGGAGCGGAGCAGAAATGGAACTCACCTTGGGCTTTGGTGCGCTTGCCGCAGAAGTTCCGCTGTTGAAGTATTTCGAGATTCCATTATTCAACTTTTCCTTCCGTTGTTTCTCCTCCTCACGCTTTCGCTTTGCGGCTTTGCTTTGTGCGGGTAATTCGTCGCTATCGTCACTGTCGTATTCTGCGGTGCCTTCGTTCCAAACTTCTCGCCCATCGTCTGCGTATCCGGCTCCATTGTCGTCTACAACGAAGTCATCCTCGTCAAGACGGTCGCGAATGATCTTCTTGTAGCCGTCGTCGTCGACCTCTTCGTAAATGTCGCCTTGTTCCTCGACTTCATAGGTATCGATGCGTTTTTTGCCGGAGGCACGGAGGGCCCTCAGCTCAGCCAATCTCTCACGAGCAGAAGGCATGGCTATTGGTGTTTTGGACGAATGCCCATAAACAGAATGGGTCTGGAAAGCAACAATGGTTGCGGGGGTGAGGAAATACAAGGGAGATCTTCGATCGCGCCTTCGACGAAGCGCGACGCGCAGCGCGGCGCGTTGAGTGGTTTAGTAATGAATTTCGGCCTTGGTGCCTTATCCACCAGCCCTAGTTAAACCACCAGTTTACTAGTAATGGAGGCCCTGACTTTGGAAGTCATATATTGACGCCAATCATTTATTTATTTTAATAAAGTGAAGCATAATCTTCATAGTGCGCATACATGTGCAATTGACTTGGCAGACTCATCTCACAAGGTAACCATGGTGATCTACACAACGGGGTTCTTTCTGAAATGAGCAGATTGAAATTGAAAAGATGAGTCTAATACAGTCCTATGCTAAAGTCGAGTTTGCAGTGGCAAGAGATAGCCTCACCTAGGTGCCGGACAGAAACGTTGAATTTTACGAAGTTAATAGAACAGGAGCAGGATATCAGTAGCCCAGATAAGAATGATGAGTAGTTGTTTGAATAGAACATGGTTGAATGGGGATTGTCGAGGTCTTAGGTCAAATATCCGAGGTATGGTATGGAATCGTATTGAAGGTTGTACATGTTAACATTTAGGGTTGCCGATCATTAGAGGGGTTCACTATGCGACCCGGAGGCTGTAAGATTGCCCGTTAGCTACTAGTACCTAGCAGGTAACAAGAAGAGAAGCACTCCAGGGCTCTTAGTATGTTGACCTGCTACATACTGGCGTCTTTACCTGTGTACTGAAAGCCAAGCTTCGTATGTCGTCCGGTGTTACCCAGTACTTGATACACTTTGGTCTGCCCCGGGACGACCAGTCGTCGACAGAGCAGCAAAAGATAACGTTTTAGACACGGAACCAAAAATTGAACAAGACAAAAACCCGGTGTTATTTGAGCAGATTTTCCTGGCCTATGCTAGGTATGTTTTCCAGCCGTGAGAAACAGCGCCAGTAAAAAAAAGAACATAGGATCTCCATCCTCTCCACACCCAGTCAGCAACCGGTACCGGGATCAAGGACCGCTTTCCGAACTGAATGTCGATCCTACTCCATGAGACAGCCAAGCTTTCAAATCAAACAAAGCTCCTCATGGCACAACCGTAATCCTCCCTAGAAACCCAATCCACCAACAAGACAAATGGAGACAGACAAGTCGTAAGATGAGATATGAAAGACATGAACGTTCCACCCTCCGTTTTTTTGATAAATTCTCCTCTCTTTTCGCCCGCGTAAGATGTACACTGGTAGCGAGGGAATTTAACGGTAGGACTTCTGGTAACGGGCGCGGGCACCGCGACCACCGAACTTCTTGGGCTCCGCGCGGCGGTTGTCGGCGACCAGCAGGGTGCGGTCGTACTGGGCGAAAGCCTGCTTGAGCTGGTTCTTGGAGTGCTCATCGACGTACTTCTGGTAATAAGCGACGATAGACTTGGCGATGGCCTGACGGATGGCGTAGACCTGGGAGGTGTGACCACCACCGGTGACACGAACGCGGATGTCGATACCGGCGAACTTGTCCTGGCCGACGATCAGGAGGGGCTCGTAGACCTAAATCGAAGAAAAGTCTGTCAGAAAATCGGTTCGTCGCATTGAACATTGCCGCCAGCCATTATTCCAATATAATCGTAATTCCTCCTCTTGTGGTTGTTGCGTGTTTCCCCTTTGGCGTGGCTGGCGGCGAAGGTTTGTGGTTGTGTGAAACGTACCTTGAAGCGGAGGATCTCGGGCTGGACCAGAGAGATGGGCTGGCCGTTAACCTTGATGAGGCCCTTGCCTTGCTGTAAATCGAAAAAGTCTCAGCGAGCTGTTCATTCATGATGCCGTGAAAATCCCCATGCGCCAAATGTGACCAATGTGTCCTTCCATCACTGCTATCCCACAACATCTCAAATTTCGGATTCCTTCAATAACCTGACATTTCGTTGTCGACACCATTCCCAGACACATCTTTTGCTTTCCTTCACATTGTTCCATTTGGCGCAGGGGGAGAGTATAAATCGGGGATGGGTGGGTGGGAGGCATCGTCTTCATACCTTGCAGTGGGCGACAGCGGTGGCTATTGAAAATCGAACATCAGCACTTCAATCTTCTCCATGAACAGGTCGTATTTCGCGAAACTCACCCGTCTTCTTCTTGCCGAAGCATTGCACACTCGGGACGGAAGCCATGGTGGGTAAAATGGCCCTGGTCGGTTGTCGATAGGGAGGGAGTGTGTTGTCGTGGGAGATGGAAAAGAAGTCGACCGCGAATTCCCACACTACGGCGATTCGCCTGAATTGCCCTTGAAAGTGCGGGTTTCGCTTAGAGCTGAACTAATCCGGATTGGGTTAGTGTCATTTGACGCTAGGGCTTGAATCACATGATCGATGCTGACTGATGCGTCGGAGCTCGGGGGCAGAAAGTTCGGGGAACTCTGAACTCTGCTGGCCCGCAAAGGATCGCGTGTTTGGCCTGCTATCACTCCATTCCCTCTCCCTCCTTTACATCTGACAAGATGTCGCAAACCGTCGGCAAGGTGTGTACTGGCTGAAATTGCTGGATACTCTTATTCCCCCCCGCAATTCCCGCAGAATAGCCCATGGGACTAACATATATCTTTCTTAGACCCGTCTTGCTTATTCTCGAGCATGGCATTATGTCGATGCTGGCTCCGACTCACGCTCTCTCGGCCGTCTGGCTTCCTCAATCGCCCTCGTCCTGATGGGCAAGAACAAGCCCATCTACGATCCCTCGACGGACTGCGGTGACTACGTCGTGGTTGCGGGCTGCCATGATCTGCGAACAACCGGAAAGAAACGCTTCCAGAAGCTGTACTATACCCACACGACTCGCCCCGGTAGCTTGAAGAGTATGACAATGGATCAAATGTTTACCAAATGGGGTGGTGGAGAGGTATTGCGCCGCGCTGTGAAGGGCATGCTGCCCAAGAACCGCCTTCAGGAGCCCCGGCTGGCTCGGCTCAAGAGTAAGTTTTCCGGAGGAGAACATCATAACGTGGATGGTCAAGACTCGCTTGGCGCAATTGGTGACATTTCTGACATATACGATATAGCTTTCGAAGGTCTTGCCCATCCCTACAAGGAGAACATCGTCAAATTCGGTAACGAATCGGTTCTGAGCAACCCCAAGGTGCAAGAAGCGTTCAAGGAGGCCAAGACATCCGCATAATCCCTTTTCCTTCTGTTTCGCATTATTCAATTATTACGCTCTCACCTAGGGGCTGTCTGTATTCTATTTCTTTGTTATGATCCAAAACCGCAAGCGCATGGGTCCGGAGTCCAATTTTTGTTCTTGGGAGTGACATTTCTCTTCTACGTTTTTTTTATGATTTTTGAACTACAAAGGTCTCTTCTTGGAATGTACTTATATAGCAGACCGAATGGAAATAAAAAAGAAAAGTGTTCCGAAATGACATTGGGCCGTGTCGATCCACTCCCAGTGGTTGGTATATAGAGACATACTATGTACAGGGAAACTCCATGCTAACAAAGAAATCCGACTTCGGTTTTGGCCGATGCGGTGGCATTTACAGGCGGGCCTTCTGGTTGGCACGGGCGACGGTGCACTTGATGAGACCGTTAGGGTTGGACTGGGGGGGCGTAAACCTCGGCGTCCTTGCCAGTGTTCTTGGTGCCCTTGTGCCAGCTGAGATCTGTAAATGAATTAGTCTGGGGTTCAAACAGTAAGCAACGGGAAAAATTATGCAAGACGTACCGATCTCGAAGTAGTGGTTGTTGGGCAGAGCGTATTCGACGGTATCGAGCAGAGGCTCAGCGGCGAGGATGATCTCTCCCATCTTATACATGGTGGCCTGCACACTGGCGCTGTTGTCCTCGGCAAAGGTCTTGAGAGTGGTGTTGCGGGCAACCTCGTAGGCGGGGTTGAACCTGCGGGCGTTGGCCTTGACCTGAGAGAGGTTGCTGAAGCGGCGCCACTGCCAGTCGGCGGCAACGTCAGTGCTGAGAATACGGTCCCATGTCTCCTTGAGGGTGGTGAACTCGTCACGGAGGAAACCGTGAAACTGGGAACCGGTGCTCTTGAGCACGGTCAGGTTCTTGATAGAAGACTGGATGTCAATGCCCTTGCCCTCGTGGACATCAACCTGGACATTGCGGGTCTCGCCACCCTCCTTGACGAAAGAGTGAGGGTGAGGCTTGCCATCAACGTCCATGCGCACCCAGCGGTGGGTAACAATGTTGACGTGAGCGGCGTGGATGTGACTGTACTTCTCGACGAAGTGCGTGCCGAGGATGGAGCCGAACAGCTCCGGGGGAGTAACGGGCTGTTGCTTGGCAGTGATGTAGATGGTGTTCTTGATGGAGTCTGTAGCGACGACAACACTGTTGTCGGCCTTGGTGTAGCTATAAACCGCTTGTGTTAGCTCCGTGTCGAGCTGCGTTTTTGAGAGGAGCGCGTCCCCGCACGTAGATAAGGGATCTTCGCCCCAAGCCTCCAACTATGGGAATGAATGAATGAATGGAAGTACTTACGAGGTCTCGATGTCACCCTCGAGCAGAACGCAGACGGTCATCTCGACAACAGTCTGAACACCGGTCTTCTCATCGCGGTGCACCTTGTACACGCGGACATTGTCCTTGCCATAGCGGGCGGCGGCGAGAGCACTCATTGTGAAATTTGGGGGAGGAGTTGGAGTTGGAGATGGAGATGGAGATAAGATCGACGAGAAATCGAAGGGTGTCGGAACTGGATCTGAGGTAAGAAGGATTGAATCGAAGCGGAGACTCAACAAGCTGATCTGGAGTCAGGACAGCGGTAGCGGCAAGGTAAAGTATTTATTTGGCAAGCACATGGTCTGATGCGCGGGCGAGTGAAGGCATCGGCGGGCTCCGATGCCCGCACGACGGCCGTGCCCCCCACACCTCGAGAGACAATCTTGGGCCATTGGAGAGCTTATGCTTATCGGCCCCCCCCTGCAAACGGTTCAAACTGGCGCCTGTGCCACCTGGGATTTGCTGACCACCTGGGCAGATCCCGGGGTGAGCAGGTCCATCCAGTTACTCCGTGCTCACCTTCTCTACCCCAGACTCTCGGAGGCCAACCGACGTGTCGCTTTCGCGTTACCCCCCCTGGCGGGGAATAGCTTGCGATTATCCGAAATCCGTATCCGAAAATGCGAAAGTGCGAATCCCGAGTCCACTCTTCTGCTCCCTTACTCGTCTTTTTTTTGGACCTGTGGGAACCCAGGGATTTGAAGGCCTCCACTTCCGTCGGCGACCTCCACCTGCACTTGTCCTCGCGGCCACCTGCGGTCGTCACTTCCTGAGGAATTGCTGCTCGGGATTTCGCATGCATTTGCATTTTGGGAGAGAGGAGAGAAAGCATGAGAGTCAATCTACGTGAGACTGTGCGGTCTCATTTCAGCCAAAAAGGACTGCGCCTTTCTCTTTCCTGGCAGTCGCGATCGATAACTCCGTGCCTTCCAGGTTTGCAGGTGCATCACCACCACTACATACTATTCGTACTGGTAGTACTAGTAGTATCATACGATAGCTACATACTGGCCTGTACGCTTGGTTCAACAAGAGAGGCCTCTAGGAGATCGGAGGGCTTGTCTACTAAAATTGGTCTTACAGGGCGACATCTCCGGACCCCACAAGAGCTTCTAACATCAGCGCTAATCATGAATACAATGCTCACCACTCGAGGCGAATTATCTGGCCACATCTAGAGCATCCAGTTGACAGAGTCTGGCCGCTTTATTAAGTGTGAAGGGTGAGATCCATCATCGAATATACCCACCAGCTATGAATCCAAGAAAAGCCACTTCCCGGTCTAGTTTGCAATCCACGAATCGGAGGTAGTCCTTGTAAACGATAGGCGAGCTTAAATCCTGATGCATCGGATCGACCGCGCTATTCCAATCCCAGTGGCAGTCTCAAGGAAGGCACACCGCGGAGGCTTGCCAACCGATTCAAAAAGTAGTTAAATGTCTGTAGACAAGGCGTGGCCACTAAAATCGGAGAAATGAGGCAGTGAAAGCAAAAAGGGATAAAAGAGAAAAGCCGGGCCCCCAGTCGAACGGGGATTACTTACAGCACTCGAAGTCTGGAAGGGCACGTCCCCTTGTACTAACCCGGCGGATTGTGAAAGTATGGGTGCATTTACCCTCATCACCGAGCAAATCGCCGAATTGGGTGTCGGAGGTTCTATACCTGGCTCAGGTCCTGTCTAATACGAAGCAGCCAAATGGTAGATGGCTCTTGGTGTTTGTTATTACATTTCTGCACTCTGTAGGTCCACATCACATCTACGTTGAGCATATCAAACTTGAAGAAATATAGGTACAGTGCCGACCGTTACTGCCTTCCATATCTGGAAACAGAGAGATGCCCCTTCAAACCCTAGTGACGTGATCATGGAAACCGGATGTGGAATAGCGTAAATTACGAGTTATGAATATATATTGTAATAATGCCTGATCTTGTAGTACCCCAGCTGTATCGATACAAGGTTTTGGAGGCATGGACGACTAGAAGGCTCCATGCAAAAACTAAGCAAACCTGCGACCGTTAACTAGCAATCTGTCAACTTCCCTCCTCTATCCCTCAGTCGCTTCGCTGCAGAGGGTTTGACGCTGCCTTTAGTGTCCATCTCTGGTCAAGTTGGTAGGCAAGGCTTGACAGTTAGATTTGTTTCGTGATCAACATTGCTTATCGCTATGCGCCGGCTTCTAATGGTAATTAAGCATTAGGTAACTAGCTAACCCCTTACGGAGTATAGCTTCAGGTTGCCCCTCCTCTGCATATATATACTATGACCTATAGCTCTTTTGGTGACGATGCAGATCAATCTCGGATAATCGACCCGTCGGAACCAGATCGGCACGATGCCCCCCACTCCTAGTTTACTTCTGTAGAACACCCGAGACCTCGTACTTTCCTAACCCTACCCCGTATTATGTCACGGGTCAGCCACAGTCGGTTTAACTTAATTTACTACTATATATGCCAAATAGGAAGAAGGTGGCGAATACTATAAAGAGCCTCCGAGATACGTCAGCTACACTATCGAATAGATGCTTATACTCAACCGTAAGACGGTAGCTAAAGTGACTGAAGAAGATTTAATTGTAACTCATAGCGAGTATTGGGAGGGGATTCTGAAAATAGCAGTTAAAGATATGCTGCAGATAAAAAAGAAACGTCACTAGAGAGTCCGATCTGAGAACACGGCGTTTATGATGAAATCGAACGACCAGTCCTGAAAGAATATCGAAAAGTTCTATAATTCCACTAACATCGACTGGAAACTAGTGGAGAAGCAGGACTAATTTGCTTCGTACTGGCAAGAAGCTCACCATAGTTATTGCATTTAAATGCTAGGAGTGAAGATTATGATCACTCTGCGACAGCGTCAAGGAGGCACCGATCAAACCGCAACGTGGACACGGATTGGTGCTTACTCCCACTGCTTCATGAGAGTGTTGGCTTCAATCTCTTTGTCGAAGTTGACCAGGTGAGTCGAGTGGCACCAGGGCTTGATGCTCTCCTCCTTGCGGATAGTGTTGGAGAAGAAAGTACACCACTTTATGCGAGGGTAGGTCTCGTTGATCTCAGTGCGGGTGGAGTCGTGAATCATCTCGCCGAAGTTGCGAACGTGAGGGTGGAAGCCAGTGTTGTCGTAGGTAGTGGCCAGCTGAATGAGCTGTCCGATGTAGGTGATGGTTCCGTCGACGCCCATGTCCTCGTGGCGGATGATGGCTTCGGCAGCGGCCTCGGTCTGATCGGCGGTGGCACCGAAGTCCTTGAGTACGTGCATGGCCTTAATGCCGCCGTAGATGTCAAAGGACATACGGGTGGCGGTCAGGTTCTCCTCAGCAGTGCCGAGATCATGGAGTAGACAGGTCAAGGCCCAAGTAACCGGGTTCAGGGCCGCGAATTTCTCAGGGAACTGCTGCTTGGTGATGGCCATTCCTAAATGGAGGTTAGATAAAAATTTTGATGCTGTGGGGGCCATGTATGTTGATCTGTGAACCTACCGTAGAAGTAAACTCGCATGGAGTGGCTGAAGGTCTCAGCATGGAGGGTCTCCTTCGCGTACTTGAGGGTCTTCGCAACTGAAGGATCATCAAAGGGGAACTTGATCTCGCTCAGAGGGAGAGGACCCGGCTTATTGATGAAGGGTTGGTCACCAAAGATGGCGCCCGCGTTGGCGGGCATAGCGGTCCAGCCGTTGGCAGCAATTTCTTGGTTGCACATTTTGAAGTAGAGAAAGAGAAATGGTAAAAGCCCGCAAAAATTTAAGTAGAAGATTTTCGAGGAGAAGTGGAAGGCAACTAACTGTAGTAGTGAAGATGCTGTTGGAAAAAATATGGAGAGAGCGATTTAACGACGCAGAACAAAGCCTTTAAATATTCATCTCGTCACCATAATAGATCCAATGCAAGGGAAAATTCTCTGCCTGATCCGTGATGATTTACAAGCAAGTCCAGAATATATCTCGGACTTTGCAGCCTTGAAAGAGTCTATGAGGTCGCGGGGTGGAACCAGACTTGCCCGTTTAGGAGGTTGTCGTTGGTGGGTCAATGACGGCGGCTTGTAGGATGGTCCAATGATACACACCACTGTCGTGGTGCTCGGGCTCCTAACTCCATTTCTCCCGAGAATCGGCCGCTATGACAATTTCGTAGTTTTCCCACACCCTACATGAAAATCCTTTGCCATGGAACTACTCCCAAAATCCCGGTAATCGTTCGATTGATAAGCTTCAGTAGCCGTGATAGGAAATTAAAGCTTGTGGCGCTTCGGAAGATGAGTTTTAGCGGCGTCATGCATTACTCATGCAGATGATCAACCATATAACTACAAGACCACAGTTTAAAAGCCTGTCGCTAAGGTCTCGCAATTATTATACGGATCGATTATACCTGAGAGCTTCAGCACGACAATACCTTTCTGGGCATCCCCTCGACAGAAGTCCACTTCAACATGGCTAACAGTCATCTCGCCAATCCAGTATGTAACCACCCTCAACTCTGTGATATATGCACCTCCAATATATATGCATCAGATGCACTGACTGTGTTTTTAAAGAGTCCTTTAGGATTTGGTTGCTTTGCAACTACCTTGATGACCCTTTCACTTTCACTGATGGGCTTCCGTGGTGTCTCCAACCAGTCTGTGTTCATAGGAAACCTTTGCTTCTTAGCAGGACTAGGCCTCCTCATATCTGCACAATGGGAGATGGTGAAGGGGAACACTTTCTCGTACACTGTCCTCGCCGCATTCGGTAAGTTACACATATCCATTGCGCATTAATAGTGACAGTCTCTTACGCCTTATAGGATTTTATTATGGTGGCTACGGCGTAATGCTGATGCCCTCACTGGGTATTGTGGAGTCCTACGGCGGTAAAACATCCGAATATTATAGTGCATTCGCATTCTATCAGCTAAGTTAGTTCCCAATGTCTACCACACTGTCCAATCACTCGATTAACATCATGCTTAAAGTTTGGTGTTTTCTGAATTTTTTCTTCTTGCTTGCCTCTTTGCCAACGTAAGTACATAAATTCAAGGCAACTAAGGTTCATGCTGACAATTTTTAAGGAATGTTCCGAACATCATCGTTTATGCTGCCTTGGAGTTATGCTATATCTTAAATTGTTCAGCGAACTTCATATTGGCAGATGGCAGAATGGCCTTAGGTGAGTCTCTCATGACGACGGCTGGTGCCTTTGGTGCCGTATCGGCGTCGTCTGGATTTTACCTTCTGGGACATGGTTTATGCCAAGACACATTTCCATTTGAGATTCCTCTGTGTCAAACGCGTGGGCTGTTTCGACGTGCATCCTCTATTCATGAATCCTCTATCCGTGAGAAGAGTGTTGGAGTGTATTCTGTTTGAAAGAGATACCTTGATTGCACAGGAGGTTAGGCACAACCACGCGAACAGCATGTAAATAGAAGGCGATTTTTTTATCTGCATTGCCTTTGGTAATTGAACAAAAGAATTTGCTTGCTTCTTACCCCATATAATATTAATTCGCAGAACAAAATGTTTTAGTACCTAGCTGCTGTAAGCGTTTTGGTGCCTGACGCAAGCGGCTAAGCATTTCGCTGTTTACTTACTCATCCAAGGAAGCATTTAACATCGTGAAAGACCTCGATTTTTCCTACATAAATCAATCGATCAATTCAATACTGGTTAAGTCATCCTTCCGTTTATTCATTTCATCATTCTGACCACTGCGTTGCACCCGATGCCGGAAGCGCCAACAGCGGCTTCATTCTGGGAGCTTTTTTTTACCCCAGGAAACTGGAAAACTCGCGCGTTCAGACATGCCAAAGCTCAGTAGTGTAAGGCAATCGGATCATCAGGGAAGCAATGACGTAAATTAGACAAGCAACCAGTCTTGTCCTATTACATCGGGCACTGAATTGCCATAAAAATGCTTTTGCCTCCAATGGCCTTGTACAATCGTTGAAGCATTGATTATATTTAAACAGCAGGTCAAGTCCCAAAGCGTCTTTAGATATCGCATAACCTGCTGTTGCTCACTCTCGTTCTGGCATTCAAGGCCGGCAATGAAGGTCGGCCACAGTAAGCACTTGAACAGAGTGTCTTCGTATTCGAGAGCGTCAATCAAGTCAAGTAATTGCCGCACTAATCCATGATAATCAGATCTCACTGTCCCGGTTGATGTCATCAAAGCACGAAGGACTCGGTTTCCATAGATCAATGTGGCAATTCTGTATGATTCCAATAGCAGGGACAGCTTCTCAGTGTCCACTGCTCGGAGATCTTTTGATTGCACGGAGTTGGACGCCCACTCCAGACTATCAAAATTTTCCGTCAAATGAAGCATACTCTGGGTTTCTCGTATACGCTCCTGAATCAAGGCGTCGTCGTGCATCTGCAAAGTCTTGATTGCATGCCTTTGATCAGAGAAATAACGGATGGCCTGCAGGAGAAAGGCAGGGCACCCAAGAAAACTTCGAAAAATTGACTCTTGATACTTGCCTTCATGAACATTGATACATGATTGAAGCGTGGACTTTGAACTCGAGAGCGCACCGCCGATAGTTGATACACTGCTGTGATTAGCACATTGTATACATCGGAGAATATGAAGGAAGAAGCATACAGTGAAAATTGTCGGGCGACGAATCGCCTCGTTTCCTCTAATATCCGTCCAGAATCGCTGGTAATATGTTGACTGGCATCAGGCTCTAGCATCGATTGAGATATCTTGACAAAGCCTTCTGCCCCATGAAGATGATACTTCCATCCGTCGATGCCAGACTCGAGAATATCGAGAAAAATCAAAAGTAGAATAGTTGCCATAGTCGCGTCTTTCTGCGAAGACTCCGGGTGGGACAAGGATGATGATAATGCCTTGATAGCTCGCGTTTTGAAGTGGAGTGCATCCACATTGGCATTGACAAATCGAGGTGACGAAGTATCATCGGTCTGATTGAATGACCACGCCGAGTTGGCGAAATGTCGCGCAGAAACAGCCATTATACTCATCTTCAACGTTATATTATCTACTGCATACGCGAGTAAGCTCCGAAACGGATTGCTCGGGCTGTCATATAGAATGAACAACTTGGCGATGCGTATGTTATCTTATTGCTGGCATTAGCATACCCACGATAAAACCTATATCACCAGGAACTTACAATAATCAAGATAGAACCTCGATGACCAATCGAGGTCCTTTGTGGAAGGGTCTTGCAATGCGAACGAGAGAGGACGTGTGAGCGCCAAAGACTGGACGCAGGGCGAGATTGATCGTAGTTTGAGTGGTGGATGTGGTTTTCGATTGGCGACTTTGTAATCTTCTTCGAGGGCATGTCCGCGCATTTTGCCCCGGATTGCCACGCCTTTGACCCATCGTAGCGGTCTAGTTTCGAAACATTCTAGCCCAGCTTTCTCGCATTTAGAGCAAGGGTTGCCGGTTCGGTCACATTGAATGGTGCGTTTGCGGCATGTCCAGCATGCTGCACGCATTGTGTGAACAATACCAACCTAGCCAAGAGGAGGATTTCAACAGTGGCTCGTACAATGATCGTCAGCCTTGCGGTTTGAGAAGTTGCAGAATTTCCGGAGATTTCGCCACGGAAGCCGGGCGGAGATTGGATGGTCCGCGTACGATGACTGGACAAATCCGCGGGTAGAATACAGCATCCGGACAGTAGGCACGGCACAGTGTTTGCCTTGTTTGCACGTAGATCTTCCAGGTTCTGATGATCAATCACTATTCCCGATTGGGAATGGATGTAAGCATTGCAAATTGGAACCTCACAGATCTGCGTCTTTTTGCCAACACAGAATACCACCTTTGCCATTTGCGATGAAGTGAGTCAGTCCTTGCTGCGTATTATGTGAACAATCATCTTAGGTTGCCAGAGCTCGATGTATTTTGCCATCTTTGAAGTGGTTAGATTTTTGTAAGTGCTAGATTAGGAGAAGTGTGAGCGGACGATGCCATGGCGGGGAGGCTACTTTTGGGCTCCTGGGAAGCGGCTATATTTGGACATGTAACGGTACATGAGTATACTTTCATCTATGTTACCATACAAACATAGAACAAAACACTGATTACGGAATCATTTATATAAGACTTAGCGTATCATGTGAGTAGGGTTTGAAAGAGCATCTCTGTGTTACCGGATATGGAAGGCAATACCGGTCGGCACTGTATACATGTGACAAGCTTGCTCCATTGGTACTGGTACTATTACCTAGGCAAAATACTAGTATACTTGCTTGACTATTGACTTCCAGGAATTGTAGGCGTACGAAGCTCCATATTAAGCTTAGAAAGCACTGCTCAAATTTTAAAACTACTACCTTGCAGCTCCTCAGAGGCTGTTTGAAGCACGTTTGATTATAATGCCTACCTAGGTAGTCTCAAAGATTGGCACTAGTGGTTTGGACGAGTGTATACCACTCTCTAATAATCTTTTTTATAGCCAGACAAACAAGCAAGAGATAGCCTTCTTGCTGAATAGAGTCCTATAGAGACATAGTGCTTACCAAAAGATAGACGCAAGAAGACGCTAAAAGTGATTGTGTGCGGGCCCCCCCAGTTTCATTATACTGCACCGATTTCCACTCCTTTTTCCCGTCACAAAACAAAGAAAAGGAGCTGGAAGGGGTTCAAAACGCACGCCCATGCGATGCTGAATCCCCCGGGCCAATAGCTGGCGCTCAGCTGGCATCTTATTGTTTACAATGAATGGGTGGCTTTTTTGCGTTTTCCTGCCATCCTGGACCTCTCAAGTCTCCCCGGTTACGATGAATCAGATGGAATGCGGAGATAATTGAGATGATCGGTTCGCTGGTCCGTCGGCTCGATAGACTTGCGAAAAACAAAGTGGCATGTTACATGACTAAGCGCGCCAAAGGATGAAGTAAACATTCCAAGTTTGGCCAGCAGCCCCTAGTTTGAGATGGATAAGAGAAGATTATGAGACCATGTTGATTTATTTCATCACTGGACTCGAAGATTCCTTCATCTGCCGTGCAATTAATCTCTCTACTTCATTTCCAAGTTTCCTTCCGCATCTTGCTATCAAACGAAAAATGTGCCGATCAAAACTTGCGATCACGCTTTTCTTGCTAATTTCAGTGAACGCAAGGCCTCAAGAAGAGAAAATATCACAATATGACTTTGTTATTGTTGGAGGAGGTACAAGTGGCTTGGTTGTTGCCAACAGACTTTCAGAGATGAGCGACGTTACTGTGGCTGTCATCGAAGCTGGAGATTCAGTTCTTAACAATTCAAATGTGACCAGCGTTACAGGATACGGTCGTAGCTTTGGTACGGCTATTGACTGGCAATACCAAACCGAGGACCAAAATTACGCTGGAGGATCGAAGCAGATTATGCGCGCTGGAAAAGCTATAGGAGGTACAAGCACTATTAACGGTAAGTGATGGTCCTATACCTCCCATGAATTCTTTCGTTCATACTAACTCTAATTCCTTGGGCCAGGCATGTCATACACTCGGGCGCAAAATGTGCAAATTGACAGTTGGGAATTACTTGGAAACAAAGGATGGAATTGGCAGAGCCTATTCCCTTACTACATGAAATCAGAGGGATTCCAGGTACCCACTCAAGACCAAATTTCGTTTGGTGCAGACTACTACTCAGACTATCATGGAGAGCATGGTCCGATGAAAGTCGGCTGGCCGAAATTCTTGACCAACAGCAGCGTACTTCCTGTGCTTGACGAATCCTTTAACCAACTAGGTGTCCCTTATAATCGTGACGTTAATGGCGGCCTTATGGTTGGGTTAACCTCTCATCCTAATACAATCGACAGCGAGGCAAACGTTCGCCATGATGCCGCCAGAGCCTACTACTGGCCATATCAAAGTCGACCTAACCTCAAGATTATCTCAAATACATACGCGAACAAAATAATTTGGGGCAATGATTCGGACGGTGACGCAGTCGCAATTGGAGTCGAAATTAATAATATAAATGGAAAGCAGATAATACACGCTTCAAAGGAGGTTATCTTGTCAGCTGGATCTTTGAAGTCACCTATCCTCTTAGAGTTGTCCGGCATTGGCAACCCCGATATTCTCAGCAAACACGATATCCCCGTCAAAGTCAACATTTCCACTGTCGGAGAGAACTTGCAGGATCAAACAAACAACGGTCTTTCCTACGAGGGAAAGGAGTTTTGGCTGGGCTCACCAACTTTCTCCGCCTTACCGTCCGCTGACCAGCTATACGGAAACAGTTTCTATACTGTCGCCTCCAAAATTAATTCCAGTCTCGCCGATTATGCCGAAACTATCGCCAACTCTTCGAATGGTGCGCTCAAAGCATCTAACCTTCTCGCTGTATTCGAGATGCAGTGGGATTTGATCTTCAGGTCAAAAGTTCCATTTGCGGAGATCGTGTTCCTCCCAATTTCACACACATTTTCTGTTGAATATTGGCCTCTACTTCCTTTCTCAAGAGGCAGTATACACATTAAATCCGCAGACGCCTCGGAACCGGCAGCAATCAATCCGAATTATTTTATGTTCAAGCAAGATCTTACTACGCAGGCCGATGTGGCTCGCTATATTCGGAAGGTATTCGGTACTCTTCCTCTGGGAGATCTTGTGGGAGACGAGCGTGCACCGGGACTGGAGCATGTTCCTGATAATGCAACCGACTCTACCTGGGATGGCTGGGTTAAGGCCAACTGTCAGTATCTCCAATTTTATCCTAAATGACCTAGAAGGTTGATCTCTGACTCCCCATATAGACAGATCAAACTTCCACCCAGTCGGCACGGCTAGCATGCTTCCCCGGAGCAAAGGTGGAGTTGTGAACACTGATCTCAAGGTTTACGGTACCAAGAATGTCCGGGTGATTGATGCATCTGTATTGCCATACCAACTTTGTGGACACTTGACAAGCACTCTTTATGCCGTGGCCGAAAGGGCATCGGATCTGATCAAGAGGAGATATACATTTTGAATGAAACGACATCCACCCAAAACAATAAATCTCCAAAACACTGGCATTTAGTCTTAACCATCATGTATGGCTTCTGCGTGGCCACAACTACAACAAGGATAGCCTCCTTCCGGGTGATATCCTGCCATTTGAAACCCTGTGCATCCACATCGGTAGCCTTCTTTGTCATATCCAGGACATTTGATCTTGTAGTCACCACGGAAGAGGAAGGGTGTTGTAAGAAACTCGAGCCACGTCATAACTGTATGCGCTTAGGTTTGGGCTCTGATGCTGGAATCTTCTTTTAGTAAGGCATTTGATATCAGAAATAGAGAAAATATGAATGGGTTATTTACTTACAGTCTGTCAGGATAGTAGATTGGATTGGAAACAGAAATATTCAGACGGATCGCAGTTTGACGAGAATCAGACTCGGATGATGGAGAAGGGGAAGAAATATTCAGTTCAACCATTCCGACTCTTGCATAGGAAGTGGTGCCTAATAGATACCCGACTTTCCCTGTCGACTTTAGGTCAGCCGACTCAGCAAAAGGTGTCGACTCAAAATGAAGCAAGAGCGCCACTAGGCCTTAACAAGATACCCCTCACCTATACTTCACTAGATTATATGCTCATGCCAAGCAGGCTGCCAAGCATTGGCGTGCATGGTCTCATTACAGATAATTAAGACTCGCAACAAACTAATCGTCTGGCAGTTGCGGGGTAAATACATGCTGGTGAAAATCATCGGGGATTGCAAGTTCGTAGCAATCGAATATTCTCGGTAGGTGATGCGGGGAGGAATCTGCAATATCTCAAGAGAAGCGAGACTTTTCAGTTCCAACAATAATGAAATCTGCGAGCGCGATATGACCGGCGAGTTTCCTTTTCCCCGGGAGGTCGATGGAATTATCTTAAAAGCTTAACATGATTTGCTGATTGAATCATTGGCGGTCGATATACCCTCAACACTTCATGGAACAGCGCTGCTCATTGGACCATTAATGGCTCACCCCTAGCCGAATCCAACGATCGAATCAAGCTTCTAGATATGAATATATGTCGACATCTGGGATCATAGAAGACAAAGTGTTTGGACGGACTTTGGAGGTACTATATGATCTTCACCGGGATCGGGGTGACCGGTGGGATATTCAACAGAGCGAGTTAGTGACCCGGGCCCCAGTTTTGAAGCATTCAAGTCGAAGTGGAAGACCAAAATACCTACCAAAATAGGCCATTCAATTGCAATTGATAAGAACCGAAGCAAGCAGGCAAGCATTGAAGCAACGGGCGGATCAACTCTAAATAATGCCCGGATCTAGCAGACGGAGTGGAAGAAGTGGGTCACAGATCGCCAGAACTTTCCCTTTGAGGTTAACATCAGGCAGAGACGTCACTGGGGGGGTCCGCGGGCACCGCGATTAAAGTCTGGGGACGTTATCGAGGATGCTTTTGAGGTGGGATGCTCTAATTACTAAAATTGTATCTTGTGGACTGGGTAGCAAGAGGATATAATATCTTCTTATCCACCCATAAATACCACCCACTCCTCACACCCAACTCCTGCCCCTCCAACTTAATTCAACGAATCCTCAATGTTCAATTGACTTGACTTCCAGCGATAAGGTAAGTTCTCTTCCACCCATCCACGGAACCATTGCCGAAGAACGAGTCACTGACCTCAACCCTAGAGTGATAAAAACTGTTCTACTCTACACTTCCCTACTACTACTACTACTACTACTACTACTACTACTACTACTACTACTACTACTCTTACTACTCTCACTACTACCTCAATCGGAAGCCCCAACCTCATCTACACGCAATCAAATCACCACGCAAACCACCACAATCATGTCAGGCAAAAAGCAACAATACATCTACCTCCCCGAAACAACCCCCCACCTCGCCACAATCCTCAGCTTCCCATCCCGATGCTCCACCTTCCCAGCCCTGTACGAAAAGACCTGCACCGAGATCATCGACCTCGCAGCAACAATCGCCCACTTCGAGCCCGTACGCCTCCACGTCCGACCAGAAGACCAAGACCGAGCCCAGAACCTACTGAACAACCGCCTGGCCAACACAACCACACCCACAGAACAACTTGAATCCCGCATCACTCTCATCCCCGCACCAACAAACCACATCTGGGTCCGCGATACTGGCCCCATGTACGTCCGCAGCGCGAACGACCCCACCAGCCGCCACGCGATAGACTTCCAATTCTGCGAATGGGGCAATAGCACCGGCGAATTGATCTACAATTCCAGTCCGGATAAGAAGGGTGCATTGCCCGATGGGTCCGACTGGCCGATTCTAGACGCCGAGCGACGGAGGGAGAACACTGCATTCGCGGCGCGGGTCTTGGAGCTTGAGGGGGCCGGGGTACCGAGGGTTATTTCCAAGGTCAGGCTTGAGGGTGGTGGGATTGAGATGGATGGGGAAGGAACGTTTATGGCTATGGAGAGTAGTGTGACGGTTCCTTCGAGGAATGAGGGACTCTCCAAGGTTGAAATTGAGTCCGAATTGACGAGATTACTCGGCGTTAGGAAGTTTATTTGGATTCCGGGTCGGGAGGGGTTGGATATTACGGATTATCATATCGATGCTGAGGCGAGGTTTATTCGGCCTGGTGTTGTCGTTGTTGGGAAACCGCATGCGAAGTGTAAGAAGGTCTTTTGGGATGTTTATTACGAGATGCGCCAGATCTTGGATACGGCAGTCGATGCGCGCGGGAGAAAGCTTGATGTTATTGATATTGAGGAGCCGGATCCGACGCTTTTGCAGGGTGATGTTCCTGGGGAGGAGACGGATGTTGCGGCTTCGTATGTGAATTTCTACTTCACGAATGGCGGGTTGGTGATTCCTGCTTTTGGGGATGTTGAGATGGATCGTCGGGCTCTGGAGACGCTGCAGATGTTGGTTCCTGAGAGGGAAGTTAGGCAGGTTGCCGTGAACGCGTTGCCCAGGACTGGGGGTGTGTTGCACTGCACAACGCAACAGGTACTATGATCGTCTGTCTGTCTCTCTCTCCTTGCGGATTCTTTCCTGTGACAGGGGGGGTTCTCCCAGAGCTGGCTGTGGGGTTGTTTGGTTGGTGAATCGTTTTGTGGAGTTTTTCTAGGAGCGTATATTATCTTGTGTTATTTTTGCATCATATCAGATCACTATTAGAGGAGACTACTATTATCAATATTATACAGCAACGGCTTGGCAGAGGTCTTGCTTTCGTTTGTACAACAAGACTAGTTCATGTAATTCTTGACAGGTTCTCCAACAATAAAAAAAGAGTAATCTGGACCTGGCTGTACATGAAATCCAGTCTCACTTCAAAACAAAACTAGAATGTAGAACCCGGCCTAGTTATCACCACAAATCACCTTGCGAAAGCGTAGCAGAGCCACGAACAAAGTGAGATGAATGGAGAAACAACTGAAACCGCCACCGTTGTAAACTGCAAATGTGTATATCTTTTTTCTTTTCTTGTAAATCCATCAAGAAAAGCCAAACACTCCAGCCCGGAAAGGCCGGCCACTCCGAACAAATTATTCAACGCCATTCTCAAAACGCCTAGTCAACGGATCCAACACCAGAAATGACCATAGCCCAAAGCAAGATCCAGAAAGGAAAAGGAAAAGAAAACACAGCCGGACATGCAATCGTTAAGGGGGAGGGCGGGGCGGGGCGTAGCGTAGCATTAGCAACATGAAGTAGGGAGAGGGAGAGGGAGAGGAAGAGGCAGAGAGATGGACATGGGCACACAGAAACAAATCCCAGCACCGGTTTTGTTCGTCTTCATCCAACAGAATCAAGCCAAGTCGTAGATCTTAGATTTTACTCCGTCCAAGAATATTCAATATAGGGATCGAACACGGAAAGTGGAAAAGTTCACAGGCTCAACTGGTCGATACTTCCAACTCTCCCACCACCACCAAGTCGGCCACCGCCCTTGGTCACCATTCCCAAGCGGTAGAAGCGCTCTTCGCCAGCCGGTGTCCGGCCACCGATATACCACTTCTCGGGACCGAGAGCATCACGGAAACCGCCCGATCCACTGGAAGAATCGCTGCCGCGGCGTTGACGCTCTGGACCGCGATTGATTGGGATCGGTGTTGATGATGATGATGGTGTTGGGGGCGGAGATGCGGTGAGCGGGGTGTCTGGAGCCGCATGGTGGTAGTGGTGAGATGGTGGCGAGTGGTTTGATCCTGCGGCTGAGCCAGATGATCCTGCTGTCGCTGTCGCTGGCCCCGAGGACGAAGATGTAGATGAGGCGTGGTGGTGATGGGCGTGGTGGGCGGTTGATGAAGGCCCGGCCGAGGAAGCCGCAGAAGCGGAGTTGGCGGCCTTGGTGGCTATCGCGCGGGCGCTTTGCGAGATCTGTGCAGAGGAGAGTGTGGGGGTGCCGGTGGATGATTGTGAGGCGGCTTTATAGGTTGACTGGGCGCGGAAGGCGGCCAGGAAGTTGGAGAGGAATGGACGGTTGGTGGACATGATGAGGGTGCGAATGAGATGATATTCCCAGGCTGGAGAGAGCCCAGGGAAAGAAGTCCAGGTCAGAGCCGGTCAGAAGTTGAAGAATGGAGACCCTAGAGGGGAATAAGTGGAGAGGAGGGGAAGATAAGATGGAGATGGAGGAGGAGGGGGGGGGCGCGATAATATTCGGTCCTCTCAACCGGTTGCGCTCGCAGAAAAGCGGAGCGAACGGCGGGGAGGGAAAATCCCGACCCTATTCACCCCGACAGGCCAATCAGAGTCGCCCTATTATGGGCATGACGTCTAACTGGGGGCTCGGCGGCAACAGATGATGGGCATGGATATGGATATGGGCATGGGCATTGGCATGTGGTGCAGATGAGAATGAACATAAAGTTCAGAGCATGTATAGTACTAGTAGTACTTCGTCTGGTGAGTACCACCGGGGCAGTATGGTGACAAACGTAGGCTCTACACTACTAGTCGTCTTTCAGACAGCGCCCAAGGTGTCTTGCAACGAAGGATCCATGAATATACGTAGGTACACTTCAATCTACGCTTTCTACCTCAACTCCTGGGAACTTCAATATGCTTGAACATGGAATGATTACATCCGGTCTATTTTCTAGATGCTTTTCAAGTAGAACAGATACCCTCCTAAAAATGAAACGCAAAAGAGAGAGAAGAGATAAAGAGATAAAGAGAAATGAAAACACAACGTAAGAGAACAACACCCTAAATCACACCTCATCAAGCCCGAGGCGCAAATATGTCCGTTTTGTGCCGACTGTACTTACAGAAACGAGGTCATGCAGATGCACCGGGAAAGAAAAGAGAAGAAAGCAGAGCAAAGCAGACAAAGGGGCCACCAGCAACTGGAAGAAAACTCGAGGGGAATTTTGTTTCGACTGTCAACAGGTCCCGCAAAGCTTTTCGTCTTTCTGATTGTCGAACATTCGCGCAAAAGGAACACATGCCCATGTCTATAGTGTGGACGCCGAACGAAGCCACCCGCCATACCGTCTTACCCACGCATTCGATTCGAGTCGAGTCGAATCGAGGGGACGTAAATCAAATCAAAGCGGGTAAAAAAAATGAGAAAAAAGATGAAACAAACCGGACTCGCAATTCAACCACCATGTAAAACTCGCCCGTGCAAAGGAGAATGCGGACCCACACCGGATGGGATCTGAACCGGGAAGAATGAGAAGGGAGATAGGAGTAAACAAGGAGAAAGAGAATAAAGAAAACAAGTTGTGGAAAGCGAAAGCCATCAAGGACGCGAGAGGTACATAATTGAAAAGGAAACCACAATGGGAATGATAAGACCGGATACAAAGAAACACCACTGCAGAGCTGTGTCGAGCAGAAGTTCGAATGGATCAGAGAGACGAGCGGAGGTCGCAAATTCTTGAGGACAGGTCTTTTCTGGCTGCGAGGCCGAAAAAAAAAACCAATGGACCGCCTAGAAAAAAACTTCACCAACGTAAAAACCGAAAATGACTTTTCAAAAGCTTTCAACTCATTGCCTGTGGGAGTTTCGTTGTAACCCCACAGATCAAAAGTCGAAAGACTTCTCGTTCTCTCTCTCCTCATCCGTTCTTTGTCCTATCGTCTTCCAATCCCTCCTTATTGCCATTTACTGCCGAGCTGGCAGGACGGTACCTAAGGGAAATCACCATCAGCATGATGTTCCCCGGCAATAATCGCCATCAGATTTTCCAATTTCAGTATCGCTTACCATCACCGCCCATAGTAGTAGAGGCCAGATACATTCCGTTCATACCGTTCTCGGGGCCGCCCGCGGTCGTAGCGGGGTAGAATTTGCGGTCGGAATCGACGGGGGCGTGAATCGACTCCTGGCCGGCGGCCATGGAGTGTGGGGAAAACGTGGTTCATGTAACCGTCGGCGGCGGGGGCACCGTGCTGAAACATCGAGGTCCAGTCAACACCTGGCTGACCAGAATGGGGACCGGGCATAGCCGGGTGTTTGTGGTCAGGGACGACCAGGGGCTTTACCTGTTCATGAGAACGATCAACACTCAGTTGTTGTCCATTGGGGTCGGCACCATGCTGCATGAGGTACGGATTCTGCTTGGGCGCAGCCATCCAGGAGGCTCGCGAGGCCTGACCGGCGAACGCGTCTTCATGAGGACGGTTCATGCCGTTGACAGGCGACATCGTGAATCCCAGATGCTGCTGATGGCCATGGGCCATGCCGTTGCCATTCACGGCCCCATCGCCGAATTGTCCACCCATCACACCATTGGAGACCGGGACGGTGTTACTAACCTCATCCTGAAGAGGCTTGGCGGGGTTAGCCGCCGCAGCCTGAGCAGCTTGCTGCTGGGACCGCTTCAGATGGGCTTGGGGGTGCGACAGGTGAGTCGCGCCCGTTGGGTTGCCCCGGCGGATCGAACATTTTTGGAAGTGGCGCTTCAAGATATCACTGCGAGAGAAGGTATCCTTGCAGAGAACACACATGTAGGGTCGGTCACCGGTGTCTATAAGAGAAAAGCGAATTCGACGCGTCATTAGCCAACAAATCCTTTTTGTAGAGTATGAAAACTAGAACACATTGGGTCCAATGTCTCCAGCAATCCGATATCAAAGAAAAACTCACGTCTCAGTAGATGGCGCTTCAGGTGCTTGGCGTGAAGGTAGGTCTTGTTACAGTGCGGGCAAGGGAATTTGCCATCCGCGTCCTTGGCTGGGATGGTAGTGCTCTTAGCAGCACCATTGACGCCGTTAGAGACCGGAGTTGCGCGGCCCGGGACGCTCGGCAGGATACCACGGCGGCCCTGGGAGCCCACGACCTGCGTGCGCGGCTGTTCCTTTCCGTAAGGGGAGCCGTTGGCGCCGTTGACTTCAGGGCTCATTCCCCAGGACTTGCCATCAGAGTAGCTGAAAGCACCGGAGGGCATGCCATTGAAATCGCGGCGGTCGCGCGGGGGCGCGGGCGCGATGGGCTGCGGGTAGCTCTGCGCGGTCGACGCGGGAGGCAGCACACTTGTGGGAGGAGGCGGGTAGGACTGAGAAGGGTGTGCCTGTGAGTGGTTAGGGTGGCTCAGGTACGATGGCGAATGGCTACCGACAGTCGTGTGCGGCATGATCGGGGCGGTTGACGCTCCGTACACGTCGTGGGTGGACGCGGGAAACCGCGACAGGTCCGGCCGGTAAGGCTGTCCCATGTACGGATGCGGCGCGGGCGACTGAGTGTGGTGCGGCTGGAGGGGAGGCAGGGTATGCGGCTGCGACACCGGATACTGAGGCTGCATCGAGTACTGCGGCATAGGCATACTCGAGATGGGAGTCGAGGAGAGCGGCGTGGAGCCCTGGGGCAGGCTGGTGGAGGGAGGCCGCGAAGGGTGCGATCGAGGATCCATGATGTGATGAGATCAAGGAGAGGAGAACACGCGTGTGAAAGTGTCGATTTGGGGGAGTTGCAGTACAATCACAGTTTCATCAAACTCGGTGATTCTTTTTTTCTTCACACTTCTGTTCACGAGGAGGCCGAAAAGTCAAGGAGCTCCTTGTTTTTGCCCACTTGAAATTTTTCCGAGGCTGGGCGGAGAGGGAAGGTCACGGGGCAATTGGAGGGAGAGACAGAGAGAGGTGATGATAAATTGACTTGACTTGCGATCTGACTCCACCAGGGATGAGTGTCAGAAGATGATGAAGGAAGAAAGGGAGAAATGCTTGAATCGGAGGAGATTCCCCACGGTCACCCACCAGAGTCGTGTGTGGAACTTATGGTGTTGTTCCGCACGTTGTTCACACCGTCGATAGGTTCTGTATCCACCAGAGAAGCGGGCGTGCAAGTGGGTCTCGCAGCACAACACCTAGTCAGATCTGCTTCGCGCGTCAAGGATTCGAGAAGAATGAAAAAGCAAAGCGCTTTTTTTAAGTGGTGCCTCGAAAGTAACAATTGGCAAATTGAGGGAAGGGGAGGTGAAGACGGGAAGATTGACAGAACCCAAAAGAATTTTTTTTTCACTTCTTTTCGAGTTTCGAAGGGAAGAGCGGTTGGAAAGGGTAGGAATTGGGGGGGGGGCGGCCAAAGTTCAGATTGTTAAGAAAAAAATTAAAAAATTAAAAATTAAAAAGAAAAAAAGGAATAAAACGAGTGACGGAAGACCGGGTGAGCGAAACGGACGATCGCTTCTCGGGGAGGCAAGAGGCGAGTAACCAAAAAAAAAAAAAGAGTAAAAAAAACCTTAGCCAAATAATGGGATTTCTGGAAATGGCGGTATTGCAATTACCAAATACCGTAATCAAGACCACTCGAACTGGCGGGACGCGGCCGTCTTCCGAGCCCGGAGGAATGACCGCGAACGTCGAGGAAGTTATAGGTAGTAGGGTATAGTTGGTGGTTACCTATGTATTTACATTAGAAAGAAGCAATTATATTACTACTATACTCCATCTAATTTTATACAATTGTACTCCATACTACTACTACGTCAAGTGAGGTATAAGTATAGTATATCGGAGTTCTAGTAGTAGTATTCTATATTTACTCGGATTAGGGGATCAAACCCCATAAACCGAGGACATGGTTGCGTTCAGGACTCCTAAATTGCCAGTCCTAGTCTGAGAGCCAATTCAAATACCAGCATTCGGCATCGGTCTTCCTATCTCCCGGTCGCGGACAGTCTTACCATCACCTAGTAGCGATCGGCCAGTTCACCCTTATGCAGCGCTACCTGGCCTGTATCGAACGGGGCCTTATCGATTGAGTCAAGCATCCTTGGTATACTCGTAGTGAATACAAGGGAGTGGGGGGGGTAGGGGCTACTTCTATCCCAAGATGTTTTTATAAAGTACTAAAATAGGCAGCCATAGATCCTATCCATGTACATACGAAGTATACTATATCGCATGTCGTTGGAGTCGGGGTGGCCCCTGGGTGGTTTGGGCTCCGCAGTGGCTTGACAGCCCCGCTAAACAGATCACACATCTCCTGCAGCATCTTCCTGCAGCCACTGGGCACAAGGTGGGATATGTACTCATCGAAA